TCTACGACGCTTCGTTTTAATACTACAGGGTACAAAATAGGAATTTTATGATTTTAACAAAAAACAAACATATAAGTGGAAAAATTAAATTTATTTCAATTACACATATATTTTAATCTTCAAAAAACAATGAACAAAAGAACGAAACAAAAATGCGCAATTGATTAGCTCAATTTATAATAAATGTTCAAAAATTCCTCGATTTGCTTTAACACAAAGATGACATTGTCGAAACATTGATTGTCTCACACGCTCGAAGACTGAAGGAATATTCTGAACCTGATATGCTGCAGTAGTAGTTCGAGCAACTAATTCTGCTTTTGTTTCAATAGGTGTCTCATAAATGAGAGTTTTCATATGCCTCCATAAAAAAAGTCAAGCAAAGATAAATCTGGTGAACGGAGGGGCCATGCGATAGGACCTCTTCGGCCTATCTAGTGCTCATTAAATCTTTGGTCCAAGTAATTGTGCACATTGAACATTTGAACATTTATTATAAATTGGGCTAATCAATTGCGCATTTTTGTTCCATTCTTTTGTTCATTGTTTGTTAAAGATTAAAATATATGTGTAATTGAAATAAATTTAATTTTTCCACTTATATGTTTGTTTTTTGTTAAAATCATAAAATTTCTATTTTGTACCCTGTAGTATTAAAACGAAGCGTCGTAGAAAAAAACATTATTAACAAAATAAGTTTGTTTTTATGTCCTCTATTTCTCCTCAAAGTTTGTCGGTCTAATTTTTTTACACTCTGTATATAAGGGTGGTCCATTTTATTCAATACACGCAAAAATCTCAAAAAGGAGAAATTTTTTAAAAAAATGTTTCAGACAAAAGTTATATGGATCCATGGGGGACATAAGAAGGTATCATTGGTTTGACCTTGCGTGGCCCCGTCAAAGTCAGGTCAAGGTCAACTTTGCTATTTTAAATAGAAACATATATTTTTTATTGCGGAGTTTTATTCTACGTAAAGAAGGAAACAACTTTTGTTTGAAAACATTTTTTATTCGACCTTTATTTTCCAAGATATTTACGGAAATATCTACAAAAATATTGGTTTCAATAATTTTTTACTCGAATTCTATTAACTTTACCGAAAAATAGCAAGAGGTAAAAATTGTCTACTTTCTTCTTATAGAGCTCTCAGATTTTTTTTTCGGAATTTTTGATTAACTTTTTAGTACTGCATTTCCTTGCATTTTCTTGAAGTACTAAAAAGTTAATAAAAAATTCTGAAAAAAATCTCAGAGTTGCAATATAAACAAATTAAAGAAATAATTTGTTTAAACAATTATTTGTTTGAACTAGTGAGTAGAGACATGTTTTACGATTTTAGAAGTTTCTACGACGTATCCAAAGATTTTTTAGGTCAGTGAGTACGAATATGAAGTCGGAATTGGAAAATTAATTTATTTAAACAATTAATTATTTAAACAATTTGCAAGGAGATTTTTGGGATTGCTGAGAACGAATATGAAGTCGGAATTGAAAGATTAATTTGTTTTAAGAATTAATTGTTTAAATAATTTGTTTAAACATAACGATTTTATAAATTCGATTTCATATTCGTACTCAGCGGTCCCCAAAATCCCCTTACAAACATTTTCATTTAAATTAGATAAACTAAAATTTTTATTCCCACAGTTTAACCGCCATATTGAATCCGTCACTTTGAATTTTTAAAAATAGCGCACGGCATTTGAAAGCTTATATTTTTACTCGAATTTTTAGCCTTTACTTGTTCATTTTTACTCCAACCAATTTTGGGCAGCCGGCTTCACCGGTTGACAGATAATGACTCATGTGTGTGTGTGTGTGTGCGTGTCGTGTGTGCGTGTGTGTGTATGTGTGTGTGTATAATTTAACCTGAGAAATACTTGACACAATCAAACATTAACATAATGTTCTTACTATATTTTCTATATGTGCATATGCAGTTATGTATTTAGTGTGAGATCGTCTTCAAGCTGCTCTGGCACTGGCACAGACGCCGCAACGTTTGACGCATCTGTGTGTGGGATCTTTAAATTATGTCCGCCATTTTCTATCCAACTAGGAGCCTTGGCCAGTCTCTTAGGGTGTTTTCCAGTTGCGTTACACTGTGTTACACAAAATCAGTTTGCATTGGTTGCATATTATCTTACAAGATATTTTAGATAATGTGACCAATAAACTGGTTTTTTATACGTGTGTGTCAAGATATGTTAAGCAATTGAAAAGCACCCTTATATCTTGGGTCTCTAGCCGGGCCTAGAGATCCTCAAGTAAGAGATGCGCAAACTCGAACTGCGATGGGATTGGTTGTGGCCGACTTTGCTAGAATATGGCGAAACCAGTGAAACAGTCACTTTTTATTACTTGGTTTAATCTTTTTAGCTGCATTGTTAAACTAATGCAATAAGTTAAAGTGAAACAAATATACTTTCTTTCACTCTAACTTATTGCACTAGTTTTATAGTGCAGCTAAAAAGAACAGAGCAAGTACCACGAAGTAAAGACGCAGTAAAAAGATTTTAAATTAATACTATTTATAGCTGTTTTTAAAGTCTGATGTAATTAATCTTACTTATGTGAGTCAAATATGATCTGCAATAGTAAAACACTTGCTTAAAGTTTGAGATAAATCTGCATGCGCTTGCTGGAGTGTTAATTCTCTCATCTTATAACTTAGGTGAAATAATAATATTCTATTATAACATTGCATTAATATTATCAACAATTTATATGTTATGCATACATATTAATTTTATATACATACTCATAAACATAGAAACATGTGTCACATGAGTGCCGCCATATTCTAACAAACGACCGAAGTTTGCACATCTCTTATTTGAGGATCTCTACAGTCATTATCGTCTGTCTTTTTCTATGGTTCCTTTTGGGTGCTTACGCGCTTTAAGTGTCACTGTATCTTTCTTTCGCATCTAATGAGCTATAAAGATAGAATGACGTTTAGAGCGCGTGAGCGCCCAAAAGGAATGCAGCCTAAGTGTGCTCTACCCCCACTCTTCAAAAAGAGGCGAATGTTTGGTCTAGTTATATTATGTCTATGCGTATAGCGTTCGTCCCTAGTGGAAAAATTTCTTAGAAATTTTCTCACAATTTCTCATCTGCCAGATTTCTGAGAAATTCTGAAAAATATGAGGAAGTCTTAGAAAATATGAAAAGTTTCTTAAACTTTTTCAGAAATAATTAAATGAGACTTTTCAGAATATTTAAGAATTTGTACAGATAAAATTTTCTGAAAATTTCTCAGAATTTCTCAGCATTTATTAATTTCTCAGATTACTACAGATGAATATTTTTAGAATATTGGAATATTCTAATTTTCAGAATATATTCAGAAATTTTCTGTATGGACGAAAATGTCTAAAAATTTATCAGAATTTCTCGAATTTCTCGGAGTTCAGATTACTACAGATGAGTATTTTCAGAATATTTCAGAATCTGGATATGGATGAAAATTTCTTAGAATTTCTCGGATTTGTTCAGATTATTATAGATGAGTATTTTTAAAATATTTCAAAATTTGTACGCATAAAAATTTTTGGAAATTTTTCAGAATCTCGGATTTATTCAGATTACTACAGATAAGTATTTTTAGAATATATTTCAGGATCTGTATAGATGAGATTTTGTGAATAGAATTTCTCGGTTTTGTTCAGATTAGTGCAGATCTCACATAGCATAAAGAATAGAAGTTTATAGAGAATTCACTTTAAAGAATACCTATAGAATTAGAAAAATGAATATCTGAAGAATTATTCGAATCTAATTTATTCTAAAGTATTCCTTGGAATTTCATTATAATGAATATTTCGCGAATCATTACTTGGAATATTCTGAGAGTTCATGAGAAATTATTATTATTAGCTAATTTTATTTATATTTTATGGTTACATTAGACAGATACCTTAACGCTTATAATAAACGTTGATTTATACAAGGTGTTCTGCATAAGACATCCAAGAAGAAAAATATATTAGGTGATTGCATATGAAACCGCCCATTGGCAATAGATGGCGTTAGGTACACTATTTATTCGAATGGAAAGCTGGCAATACACATGATAACAGGTCTATAGAGTTCTGCCAAAACACCATAGGTGACATTTGTGCGACGCGTTAACATCATCTATTTTGATTGTGTTTACAATGGCAAGTTTTGTTCCAAATAAGTCACATTTGCGCGAAGTTATGCTCCATTATTTTTTGGCAAAGAAATCACCTGCAGAAACGCATCTTTGAGGAAGTGTATGTCGAACATGCTCCATTGAGTACAACGTGCAAAGAGTAGTTTCGCCGCTTCCAAAGTGGTGATTTCTCTATGAACAACAAGGACCGTGGAAAATCACCTAAAAAATTTGAAGATACGAAATTGGACGTATTATTGGACGAAGACTCGAATCAAAATCGTTGGTGAAATTGGCCAAAGCCTTAAATGTGGACAAATCAACAGTTTTTAGACGACTACAGACGCTGGGATGGATGCACAAGCAAAGAAATTGGGTACCTTACATATTGAAGGAACGGGACATTAAACGCCGGAAAACCATTTGTAAACTGCTGCTTGAACGTCAACAATGAAAAAGTTTTTTCCATCGAATCGATGACTGGAGATGAGAAATGGATCTATTTCGACAATCCGAAGCGAAAAGTAGCAAAGGTACGTCCTGGGGAACCCGGTCCATCGACGCCAAAGAGAAACATTCACGTAAGGTCATGCTCTGTATCTGGTGGGATCAGAGGGATGTCGTGTATTACGAGCTGCTGAAACCGTCGGAAACCATCATGGGGCATCGTTATCGACCTGCAACTGATCCGTTTAAACACGCAACCTATTGTGTACGAAGCCAACGTCTTACCTACTGCGCTACCGCTGCTACTGTTCAATAGTGACGATCGAATGTATCAAGTGTACCGCCGAACAGAGTTATTTTTAAAAATCGATTTCTTCGAAACTATGGCCCATTAGCTAAAACGACTGGACACATGTCGATTTTTTTTCGCTCAAGACGGCCTGTAAAAAGCGCATCAAAATTCCCGGAGCAGTCACCTCGTAAATCCCTTGTTAGTTAAAAAAAAAACTTAACTTATCCAACCCTGGTTTTAGGTTTATGTGTTTTAGGTTTACATATTATGTTATTATAAACATCAGTTTTAACATATATCATCAATACGTATATCATCAATACGAGTTTTGATAAACAATCGTCTAAATAATTATGCAAATTAACAAACGGGCCGATATAAAATATCACATATGAAATGTCATGTCATATGCTATGTGTATGCTGAGTTTCAAGAAAAATGGCGTGTTACACTTGGGTAATGTTAGAGTGAAATTACATGCAGAGTAAAAGAGCTGCGGAATAGAGAGTGCGTCATTGAAGCAACCAATCAGCGCTATGTTTCTCTTTGCTGATTAGTTACCGTTATGCGCTGATTGCATCCATGACACATTACTGTAATAATTTCAAAAATCTAAATAAAGAAACATTATTATCTTTATAAATTTCATTTTAATTTAATGTTATTAATTATTATTACTATTTAATTCTAATAAAATTTTATAAATTTACAAATTAGTAAATAATTAAATATTCACGTATATGGAATAATTATTATTACCGTCGTCGTCGTTGTCGTTATTGTTATTCATATGAACATATAAATAAAAATGTAATAAAAACGTGAGTGAGCGACATAACGAAAAATTTTTTAATAATTTTCTCAAATAATACAGTCGTTAAAGAGTGACATGTCGGCACAAACTTCACCTTTGTTTATCATTGCGTGATTGATAAGCAAAAAAAAGAAAAATAAGACAACAAATAAGAGAACAAATTATCTACTAATTTGAAAATTTATAAACTTTCATTACAATGGGTTTTGTTTATTGAATTTGTGTATATATGTCCTGGATTTTATGTTTTGCACTTATGAATTTTAGTCTACGAGTTTCGAATTTATGGATGTTTAACATATGGGTTTTGAGTATGTAGGTTTATGTGCTTATGGGTTTTAGATTTATGTGTTTTAGATTTATATATTATGGGCTTATCAGATAGTTTTTATATATATTACCACTTCGAGTTTTGATAAACAATCTAAATAATTATGCCAATTAACAAACGGACCGATATAAAATATTACATATGAAATGTCATGTCATATGCTGTCATGTGTATGCTGAGCTTCAAGAAAAATGGCGTGTTACACTTGGGTAGTGTTACTTGTCAGAAGTTTTCAGATTTCGTCAGAATTTTTCTGACAAATATTCTATTTCATGTAAAAAAATCTGAGAAATTTATGAGAAACTCTAAAAAATTCTATAAATTCTTTGAGAAATTTTTCTACCAAGGGTCTCACCGCAGCGCGCGTGTTGATTGGCCAGTGGGCTACCGCTCGGTAGAAATCTTTTATTGTTAATATCCAAAAATTTTACGTGGTTGTTTAAAAAAAGGCATCGATTTCATTACTCACCCAAATCTATTTTAGCTATATATTAGGTACGGTACGAGTCAGATACCTTCTATAGTTTTTATTTTATCTATATGTATACGTAAAGCATCATAATTTATGTATAAACGTCAAAACTTGTTTTATTATATTACACAACGTATATAAGATAAAAAAAAACACAAATGTATTGTTTTTTTGTTGCAGAGGATCTTAAACTGTGTTACTCTATAAGAGACATGATAGTGACTAATGCAGTGCCTATACCAAAGCTCATGCATCCTCGAGGTTTCTGTGCAAAGATTACCGTGAGGTCACAGTGTAACGATGCATCTCTAGTTATCGACGGTGGTATAGCAATCCCTTTTGATTACGGCACCATTGCGAAAGTGGAGATCTTTCCCGAGGATTCTTTGCAAACCATTACGCTTTCCGACTGAATAAATTAAGGCTTCTAGAACAAGTCACATAAAGTTTTACAATATTTGCGATTACATAACGTAAGGAAAATAATTCGCTTATCGTTTATGGCAAATGTATCACACATTCCTGTAGTAAAAAAAATTGTTAATCCAAATTTTTATAAAAGAATTTTTTTATATCCATTTGTGTGATATGCAAAAGCTAGAGTTGTTTAATAGTGACAATTACAAGTATATATAAGAGAACAATGAAAAGAAACAAAAATTAGAATTAGTAATTACTTATGTTATATTGATACTGGCTTTAATAGAATGCGTAAAAGATAAGGGCGCGATCTATTTAATTTAAAAGTAGGAAAATTTGTTATTATGATCTTATATTGATGTAAAATTCTCTTTGTAGTAAGAATTTTTATTCTATATTTTTACTGCTTATTTAATATATATATATATATATATAAGACTTTTACTGATCCCCTATAGGATTACAATTATTATTCTTACAACCTAGTTTTTTTACAATATCTTTTTTCTTTTGCTCGCTCCCACCTGCCAAACATACACACACCTCGCTCTTTCCTCTGCCTCCTTTCCCTACTCTGCTTATTACTAACTTATATCTAACTTACATCTAACTTAAAATTATCTTACATCTACTTATCTATTAATTTATAAGGCTCTTTCCTCAACCACCCATCCCTTTTCTTCTATTTCTCTCTCTCTGTCTCTCTCCCTCTCTCTCTCTCTTTCTCCTCACATCACATCCATTCAATTATTCATTCTCTTCCCGCTCTCCATCCTCCCCTCCTCTTCCTTTGCCCCTCATTCTCTCCATCTCTTTCATTCACTCCTTTCCCTCTCCCTTCTCCCCCAAAATTTTTTCTACCATCTCCTGCCAACTCCCTACTTCTCCAATATCTCCTTTCCAAATCAATATCATCTTTCCCAAATATGTTCCCATGTCTCTTCTTCTCCTTCATATATTCTACATTTCCTCTTCTTCTCCGCTTTCCAGTACCTTCCCTCTCTCAATTTATTCTCCAATCTAAACCTAATTACTCTCCTCCACCTCTCCTCTGACCATCCTTTTTCCAGATTTTTCGGTATCCCCTCCCCTTTCACGCACCTATACCATCTATTAACTCTAGATATCCTTATCCTTTCTCACCTCTCTTTCTTTTGTTTTTTACTCTCTCTCTCTCTCCAATATCTTCTCATCCTTTCCTTATTCTTTCCCCCCTCCTCCATTCTCCACTCCCGCATACAATCTTCTCTTTCCCTTTCTCACTTTCCCATTACTTTCTCTCTACTCGATCTTCTTTTTATCTCTTCCCAGCATCTTCTTGCTACCTCTCCCCCTCTTCCTTCCTTAAACGTTTCCTCAAATTTCCACGCCCTTCTCCCTACCCTTCCTCTTAACTTCTCTCTCCCCAATTCCTTCCTTACCATATATTCCGCCGTTCTCCAATCTAAATCCATATCCCATCTCAAAAACCTATTCTACAACCCTTCCAATTCTTTTCTCTTCTTCTATCCCCAAACTTCTACTCTATATCCCATTATCCATATCAATGTATCAAATAACCACAACCTTTTTTTTCAGTCCTTTCTCCACACTCTCTTCTCTATTCCCCATACCTCCCTCATTACTAATGCTACCTTCTTCCTTCTTTCCCTTATATGCGCTTTCTGACCTCCATTTCCTTGTACCATATATCCTAAATACTTATACTCCTTTACCTCTTCCAACCTTTTATCTTTCCATCTCAACTCCATTTTTTTTCTTCTGCCTCCATCTTTCCATAATTTTGTCAATTTGGAAATCTCTCGTATCTCGCTACGACAATAAGCGATTTTTGCCCAATGCTCAATTCGATAGGCTTTTTAACATCAAGCCGTTAAAAAGTTATTTGGCTCACGGTTTAAGTTTATTTCATACAACGGTCATGGAATCGCTTAATGTGCTCAAAGCGTTAGGTTGTTCGGTTGAATCGTGGGACTCTTTTTTGGTGTATCATTTACCTCGATTGCTGGATGATAAAACCCGTGTAGCTTGAGAACTGCATTTGCGATCTACCACTACTTATCCCACTTTTGCGCAGTTCGAGACCTTCTTGCATAGTCGCACCTTAGCTCAAGAAAGTCTAGCGCTTCATACGGAAAGTCAGTCTAGAGGCAATCGTTCTGATCAAATGCATTTAAGATAGGATTCACGTGCGCATCTTGGCCACTAGTAGTAAGAAAACAAATATTCCGAACTGCAATCTATGCGGCTAAGTACATAAACTCACTACCTGCCCCGTTATCAAACTTTCACAGTAGATTTTCGGTTACAGAAAATTAACAAATTAAAGCTCTGTTATAATTGTCTTGGATCTCATAACGTATATCAATGCTCCAGATGTTTTAAATGCGGTAAGAAGTACTACACGTCCTTACACAGAGCTGTAGATACCCATTCGTTTTCAATTTCAAGATCGTCGAAAGTCGAATCTCAGAATATCACTCCTGCTCCATCCTCCGTCCCAAACAGTCAATGACTAGATCTTCAGCTCGTTCATCATGTCGAACAAGTCTCATCGTCACGGCTTCCCATTCTCCTTGCTACATGTCAAGCCCAGATTTCTACTTCCAGCGGAGAATACGAATCATCAAGACTTCTTTTAGATCCTGGCTCAGAATTATCTTTTATAACGGAGGAAATGGTGCGAAGATTAAGGATCAAGCGAAGTTTTGCGTAAGTTCCTCTACTAGGAATTGGTGGGACCAACTCCGAATGCATCCGCGGAAAGGTTACCATAATATTACACGCACGTCAAAGTCCATCGGTTTACTGCAGCATTGAAGCTCACATTTTACGGCCACATATAAATTATTGTCGTTTACGGTTATATCCAGCATCGGGATTCATATACGAGGATTATCATTAGCAGATCCCAATTATAATCGTCCTGGCCCGATAGATTTAATAATTGGCGCGGATTATTACGGTCAAATTATTTTGCCAGACCTAATCCCTGCAAATCCCCCTTCTTTACTGGCTCAATTAACGATCTTCGGTTGGGCACTTTTAGGTCCAATCTCAACATCAAATGTCATTTGCTCCGCATAGAGCTATCATTGTTCGATTGATCAAAATTTATAGGATTTATTATGTCGACTCAAGAAGAAATCTCGACTCCCACAAAATCTTCCTTAAACTCTGAAGATGCCATTTGTGAGGAACATTTTAAATCCACACATTCCGAAGGCAGGTATATTGTAAGACTACCTTTAAAATTCCCAATTTCATCTTTAGGAGACTCGACCCAGCAAGCTCTCCAAAGCTTATCGCGGCTAAATCGTCGAATGCAATCAGACCCTGCATATCGGGACCGATACACCACATTTGTTCAGGAGTACGAGTCTCTAGGCCACATGACTTTGGTACCAGCTCCGGAAATAAAAATTTCTCCCGTTTTCTATCTGCCTCGCCACGGAATTCTCCAGGAACAAAACCGTATCACCAAACTTCGAGTGGTTTTTAATGGATCCAGCATTACAAGTTCAGGAGTCTCATTAAACGACATCCTTTACTTGGGAGTCAAATTACAAAGTGAAATATCAAATGTCTTGTTATTCGGCTTCATCAGTATGTATTTTCGACTGACATCGAAAAAATGTATCGCCAACCCTTATAGAAATATCATACTAAGAATCATTGATAATTACTTATTATCCAGTATTTTTAATACTGAAAATAAGTAATTATCAATGATTCTTAGTATGATATTTCTATAAGGGAAATCAACGTGCATTCAAGTAATGAAGATCAAGATTTGAAACGTATTTTTTGGGAAAACTCAAATCAGCAGTTTTAATCCTATCGATTAATCACCGTTACCTACGGGTTAAGTTGTGCGCATTTTCTGACGCTCCAGACAATCGCGTAATTAATTGCAGATGAAGGTTATCGCTTCCCGTTAGCAGTGCCATCTTTAAAAGGACGTAGATGACATCTTTGGCGGCGCAGATTCCATCCCTGGGGCAAAACGCATAATGCATCAACTGCCCCATCTTTGCAAAGCGGGAGGTTTTCCGTTGCAAAAATGGAGCAGTAATTCGCCAAAGCTTCTTCCACCAATTTTCAGATCAAATGGAGTTTTATCCCTCGAAATTGAAGCTTCTCAGATTAAAGTTTTGGGATTATGTTGGCATCCGAATAAAGATGTCTTTCAATTGTCTTTCAATTTACCTCTTACCCGGTTACTGACCGACCTATTACCAAGAGGACAATTTTGTCTGAAATCGTTCAATTATTTGATCGATCCTCTAGGTCTGATACTATCAGTTATTGTCAAAGCCAAAATGTTGATCTAAAAACTGTGGTTATTCAAGATCAGTTACGACGAATCGTTACCGCCCGAAATTCAGAGCTGCTGGACTACTTTCAGAAGACAGCTGACAGACTTGTGATTCTTGGATATCCCTCGATGGTTACATATTTCACCTCTGGCGGAATCAGTCGAACTGTATAGATTTTCGGATGCCTCACTTCTGGCAATGACAGCTGTTCCCAGATAGCCAAACCTGCGCGAGCAGATTTTGCATAGAGTCTGTCAACAGTGTCTGTAGACAAAATGGCAACAGATTACACGCAGAATCTGTTCTGACGACAGATTGGTGACAGACTGCGCGCAAAGCCTGTCGACAGATTCTGACGACAGACTGACGGCAGATTGCGCGCAGATTCTGTTTCCTAGATAAGCTATTTAATTCTATCAAGGGTCATATGTACGCTATTAAATAGGGCAGTTTCACACACATATCATGTAAAACTTCGAGAGAAGTCAAAATAATTATATTGTGCAATAATTGTACACATATAACAATAAAAAACAATTTTTACTTTTTAAAATTATATTACATATTTTTGATAAAAAAGCAACAATAATAGAGAAATAACGAGTATAGAATAGTACAACGATTAAATAGCTATTTAAAGATGTACATATGCCATCCCTGGTAAAAATTGTTCTTATAATTTTTCATACAATTTCTCATATTATTATTTTTTTTAATATTATTATGTCATTAAATCTGAACAATTTAACCGTCATGCAATAAGTACTGAAGGCAGCAGCACCGAACAAAATATTAGTCTCGCTATGTAAATAACTTTTACAGAATTTTGTGATGGTTTATTTGAAAATATATCATGCTTCGATTTTGATAAAACTTAATACAATATGAACTGGACGATTGAACAAATTAATTCGCACATGTAAAAGTACAGTATTTTATTAGCATGATGGAACAATGTCATTATCTACTGTTTTATTGCAGTAATTTTCTATACAGTCCTTGGTAGAAAATTAATTTCGAATTATCGTGCCGGTCTCTCTTATATTATTTAAACGCTAAACGGTTTTGTCTATATTTTGCAGTTTAAAAGGCGAACAAACTCTAAGATTTTCAGCCTATTCAACA